CTACGGGAAACTGTTTTTCCCAGATAAAAGCATGGAAAACTTTGAGCGCTTTGAGCGACTTCTAAATATTGTTAACCGACTTCCAAAAAAGGAGGAGGTTATCAGTTCGTCGGAATATTTATTTTTATTTTTTTTTTTATGTATGTCACCGCATAACTTTGGACCACGTCAACCGATTGCGATAATTTTTTGTATCGGAAAGGTAGTGTCTCAGAGGTGGTCCCATACTAATCTGGTTAAGATCCGATCAGTGGATCATGAGATATATATATATATTTTTTTTTTTATATGAGAGTTTAAGTCGGTTTTTTTTTGCTAAAAATTACTTGTTTGATTTCGAAACACACACCGGGGGTACATTTTTTCGGCATAGAACAATCCTAAGGGGTGAGAGCATTAAAATTCATTACTTTTTTTTGTTCACCCTAATAAATATGTAGGTGCATACAAATTCTACACTTAACTATCCAAAGATGAGTGCTCTCTCAAACTACTGTGAATTGTCACAACAAATACTTTAAATTTAGATTGAGAGACTGTTACTAAATTATGTTTGATCGTACTGGACGCACTAACATATTTAGTATATACATATGTATGTTCATATATACACATATGCATGTAGAGTATATCTATACCCTGCAGGAAATTAAATCAATTTGAAAGTAATTATTAAACTACTTTATTTTCAACAATAACTAATTGAAATTCTCACTTTTTCTCCTGCATCGAACTGATTTATTTAACATGGCGAAGTCCTAGGAAGCTGTAAATTCAACTATTTCAAAATGCATTTAGCTCAAAACACTTCAAAGTCAGTATGCTTCGTTTTAATGCGCTTTCGCTCTGCACTTCACAGGTGCTTTTTAATACTTCGAAGACACAAATTGTTTCTTTGAGTGAAATGAGTATCAAAATTCGAAAGAGTATCAAAATTCGAAACTGTTTGATCGACCTTTAAATATAGGGGTATGTTTTTTGCACTGTGCATTGAAATTCGGACTTTCCTCTGTCACGTGCATTTTTGGGCCATCTTAGTGTACATACATACATATGTATGGTTTGTCGTCACTAGGCTTAGTGTATTCAAGTGTTCTAAAAAAAGGGTATTTTGTCATTAGTAAAAAATAAAAAAATAAATATAAATCAGAAGAATAATATGGCCTTGATAAATATATTAAATCAAAAGAAAATAATAGTAGCTTATTGACACGAGGGATGCAGGGGATCTACCTCCATCCCCCTGACTACGCCACTGAAACATAGATATAGCTAAACCGTTGTCTATGTAATTATATGTTTTCACTTCTCTTTTAGGCCATAAAACAATATATGATAAATTCATATTTTTAGTTTTCAAATTAGAAAACCTTCAAACTTTGCATTGTTTTCTCTCTTTCGACATTTTTAAAGTTTGGTAGAAACATTAGCTGCGGCAGCATAATATCACTATTACTGCTGTCATATGAAGACCCGCTTTATGTTCGTTGACACGAAAATGCTATTAAAACTACGTACATATAGGCATTCAAATATTTACGGCTACTTATTTCCCCCCGATCGCTGAGCAATTACTCATTTGAGTACATACATACATACAAAAACAAAATTAATCTAATCCTCTGTGTGGCATCACTATGTGTGATACTATGGGTTGTATGGGTATGCAGTAGCATTATGAGCAGGAATTATTGAGATTTATATTTAAGAGTACATATACACTTTTTACATAGGCATAAAAATAAGCATACATGAATGGATATATATAAATATTTATATTTCTACATACATATGTACATACAGATATACAGTATGTACATAAGCAGGTACAGCAAGTAAATTGTTGTCGTTCAATCTAGAGAAAACACTTCGCTATTTCATGTTTGTAATCTTTTTTACACTAATTTTACATTTTTCAGTATGTTTTTGATCTTTTTTGTACTCTCTCATTTGATTACAAATGTACATAAAACCGTGTTTTACTTGTTTTTGCTCATAATTTTGATTGTAAATATGTAGTGAGCGTCGTCCATTACTACATACATGTCTCACACCATCTGCAAAAGGGGCACAAGGTAAAAAAAAATTATTTAAGTCGTTTTTTTTTTTGCATATACAAATCGTAGAATTTATCTTCAATTAATGCAAATATATTTTTTTCGTGGTTATATTTTCCAACTCGAAAACTACTGTTGTACCTGTTTTTGTTTTAATTGCGTTTAATCTGTACTATCCACAAGCAATTATATTTTCGGATCTGATTTTTGAATTTTGCCCCTTTTTAGGAGGGTATGCGATATGTACGTACCCATATATATATTTAGAAAGGGTGCTCCAAATAAGAGTGTATTTTTTCGAACAAAATCTTTATGTCATCATCTCAGCGTACTTGATGGACTCGGAAATGTGACTGCTGTAGCTAAAGTGAACGACTGATTACAGGTCATTTAGGTAAACGATGAACTACACATTTGCATGACAGCTGATCTTTTGCAGGCGGAGATAATAATGAACATAAAAGGGCAAACAATAATTTTTTCGAAAACTAAGTTCATTAGCCAGTCTGGATATTGTACTTTCATTTTACCAGACTTTTTTGTGGGTCTGTGGTTTTTCGCTGGCAACCTATGCACATACATAGGTCCTAAGCGATAAATTTAATATCTTTTCAAACATTAAATATGTAAGTATGTGTGTACATATTTGCTTTTATTTCAAATAATATACCCGTGCTATGGCCACTCTCTTCATACTTGCGTCGGATTTTAATTTACACTATCAATGTACTATTTCAACGAGCTGTTGAACTATTCTAAATTGTTGTTAAATTCTTTAACCATAAATCATGTGCACGTAAGTCTCGCTTAACAATCAACTGACTTTTATTATGGATGTGCACCGGATTTAGCAAAAGAAAAATGCAATAAATATATTTTGTATGTACATATATCATGTTGATTTTACAGCATTACGTATGCAAATTTACATACATATTTCTATTTAACCACATTTGCTTGAAATATTATTTCTATTACCGTTGTATGAATAAGTTAAATTTTGATAAGTAGTCATATTATTTAATCGAAAAGGTACACATTTTTCAGTCATGCTGTATCTAGGGTTGCCAACATATTCTAAGTTATTTATGGTACTTTAAAAAAAAAATAAAAAATATAGTACACTTCAAATATATATAGTATTTTATTTAAAAGAAAAAGTAAAAACGATTTTTAACTAATGGAAAATGAAATTATTTTAAGTAAATTTGTTAATTCGTTCTCAGTAATATAACTGTTTTCGATTATAACCTCTTTCGCTAATAAACTCACCATGACCCTTTACTTTGAAGAATATTTTATTTAATATTGTTTTTTTCAGAATAACGGTCATCGATTTTAATCAAGGAATGAAACCGAAACCCAAACCGAAACCGTAACCGTTTAAAACCGTTTCGTTTTTCAAAACCGAAACCGAAACCGTAACCGTTATCTTGACCTGAAAAGGAACGATACCGAAACCATTTCAATCACAGGTTTCAATCGGTTTCCAGAAATTTACAAAAATAATAAATCAAAATTTCTTTGAAATAAATGATTTATTTAACCAAAATCAGCAATATTTTGTTAAATTCTTGTTAAGTAGTAAATAAGTATGTCAAGGTAACTTTTCGCAAAAAGCTACTAAAATAGTGCCTAATAAATTAAATCTCCGATCTGGCATCGGTTATTTGGAAGAAGTCAATTTGATTTTCATTTTCACGTGTATAGTTGTAAAGGACACAGAAATGAAGGGGTTTCATAATTATGTAGTAAATATATGACGAAAATAACAATTATATTTTAGTTTTCATACACTTTTAGTTTTACAGCAAAAAGGAAACATTTAAGTGAATCTGGTGATGACGTTGTTGCTGTGTATCTATGTAGTTTTCAGCGAAAACTGGTTTTCGTTTGACAGATTTTACATGGACGAAAACACAAGTTTTAGGTCGAAAACCAGTTTTAACAACGAAAACATGTTTCCGATGTGACGTGAATCAGCTGTTTCTCGACTTGTGGGCACGAAATGTGGTTTTTTGCTATCTCGTACTTCTGGACTTTGTTCCATTTTTGAAAGAAAATGTTTCTCTTATTCTCTAATTACCAAATCCGGTCCGGATTGTTAGGGAAAGAACCTAGTGTTGATATTATCAGTGAACTGTAATTTTCAATTTTCTTTCCTCAACCTTTAACATTGTGATTTAAATAATATCAACAAAATTTCTGTGAAAAACCGAAACCGGAACGAAACCGAAACCAAAACCGAAATAAATTTTGAAAAA